AGGTATGTGTTATCACAGAGAGTTGAAGTAATCTGCTAGTCATCTGTTGCTATGCAACAGAGTTCTCAAAATTGGAAGAGCTTAAAACAATAATGATTTCTTACTTCCCACGGTTGCCGGGGTTGGCTGGGCTCTCGGCCGGCTGGTTCTTCGGCTCCGTGCGGTGCCGACTAGAGGGACTCATGAAGCTGCGTTCAGTGGGTGACTAAGCTGAGCCGGAAAGTCCAAGATGGCATCCCTCAAATGCCTGGAGCCTTGGTGGGAATGACGGGAGCACGGGGGTCTTTCTCCAGTACACTCATCAGAGTCTAGCCCAGGCTTCGTAACTAGTGGCTGGCTTCCAACCCGATGTAATCAGAAGCTGCGACGTCTGGTACGGCCGAGGCTGAGGAGTGACACAGTAGCATTCCCAGCATGTTCTGTTGGCCAAGGCAAGTCATCGGACCACGTGGAGGTCAACAAACTCCACCTCTCCGTGGGGCAAGCAACACGATTCCACAGATTTGGAAGGAATGGTCTGCAACCATCTTTGTAAGAAAGTATACAACAGGCATGTCACCTTTAAATGGTGGAGCCAGGATTGGAAACTCAGCTACCTCGACCAGCACCCCTGCTCCTGACCGTGATGCTCTTCAGCCTCTCCCTGCACACTTCCAAAGCCATGTGTAAAGGATAGCTCAGAAGCAGAGCCACCTCCTCTGAAGTCCCCGATAAAGTCTTGTAGGTGAACGTTAATTTTGTGTCAGCCTGACTGGACCACGAGGTACACAGATATTTGGTCAAGCATTATTCCAGGCATGTCTGTGAGGGTGTTCCTGGAGGAGATCAACCCTGGAATCAGCACACTGAGTTAAGCAGATGGGCCCTTTGCAATGTGGGTGGGCCTCCTCTAATCAGTTGAAGACTTTAATAGAACAAAAAATTCTTTCTGCCTGCCTGCCGTTGGGCTGGGAAATTCATTTTTGTTTCCTGCCTTTGGCTCTTTCTGGGTCTCGAACCTGTCAGCCTTCAGACCAGATCTGCACCACCGGCTCTCCTGGGTCTCTAGTTTGCTGGATGCAGATCTTGGGACATGTCGGTCTCCGTAATTTTATATATGTTATATACATATAAATACATACATAATTTAATATATATATAAAAGCACAGATAACCATGCTTGTCATCATCCTATCAGCTGTGAACACTGGAGGAGCAACTCTTCCAAGTGGGGGAGACCAAACTCCCAAGTGCATTCATTTGCTTCCCATGAAACTGTAGCCCAGATCCCCTGGATGCATTCATTTGCTTCCCAGAATATCCCCAGATGAGCCCTGCTTCCTCTTACAGTGTGTGTCTGCATTGCCTCCAGAACAACCATTTAATAACTCCAAGAATAGCTCCTTTCTCTTAACCTTTTTTACTATGTCCCAGGCATTCTTCCAAATCTTTTGAGAGACTGAGCTCCTAACTCTGAATGGGAAGGAAGACCACAGTCCCATCTGAGCCCACCTCCCCTGGTGAGCCTTGGAGACTGGAGAAACTGACAGTTCACTCCTCAAGGACATGCATGTCAAGGTCTGGCATTTTATAATTCTTACAGACTCATGAGTTGTCGTGTCCCTGTTTCATGGCTGCTGGCAGAAAACTTGCACTCCTGAGTCACAAAGAGTTTATTCTCGGGGCGCCTGGGTGGCTCAGTCGTTGGGCGTCTGCCTTCGGCTCAGGTCGTGGTCCCGGGGTCCTGGGATCGAGCCCCGCAT